AGCAGAAGCAGAGAATGCCAATATATTCACAAAACAATTAAAACAATATACAGCAGCTGTAAGCTTACAATATATAGGCATATAAAGATGCCCTAGATAAGTAAAAGACCTAACTACCCTTAAAAGACACAGACTCAAATATATATTAATATTGGCTATACAATTGTCACACCCCCTGTCAAACTCACGATGTTACAGTATTAAGCATCGAGAGTTTGCTAAGAAGAAAGCGGAAGCGAGCAAGAGTGTGAGACTTGGTGAAGAAGTCGGCCAATTGCATGGTGGAGGAGACAAAAGGAAGAGAGATAGTGCCTTGCTGGAAATGATGGCGAACAAAGTGACAGTCCAACTCGATGTGCTTTGTGCGCTCATGAAAGACAGAGTTGTGAGCAATTTGAATGGCACTTTTATTATCACAATACATAAGAGTAGGCATAGAGAGAGAAACACCCATATCTTGAAGCAACCACCGAAGCCAAACAATTTCAGCAGCAGTAGAGGCCATAGCACGATACTCAGCCTCAGCAGAAGAACGAGAAACAACTGATTGTTTCTTACTCTTCCAGGAGATAAGAGAATCACCAAGAAAAATGCAATAACCAGTAGTAGATTTCCGATCAAAAGGATCGCTAGCCCAACTAGCATCAGAAAAGGCTCGAAGCTCCAAAGTGGAGGTGGAAGGAAGCAATAAGCTTTGAAACAATGTCCCTCGAAGATAGCGTAAAATACGAATCACAGCAGCCCAGTGAAGAGTAGTGGGAGAAGAGACAAACTGACTAACAATATGAACAGCATAGGCAATATCAGGGCGAGTAATAGTGAGATAAACCAAGCTCCCAACAATAGTGCGATAAAGAGTAGGATCATCCAAAGGGGTACCATCAGATGGAGAATAACGCACATTGAGCTCAAGAGGCGTATCAGCCACTCTAGTATCTGTAATACGAGCTTTTTGAAGAACGTCAGCGGCATACTTAGACTGAGAAAGAAGATAACCTTTAGGGGAAGATGATTATACATGTTTACATATGAATTTTGTTTTTTTAAAATCAAGATTTGTTATGGGGTTTGACTATTTCATTATTTTTGGATTTGTTGATTACACATATGTTTGCATATGAATTTTGTTTTTTAAAATCAATATTTATTATGGTGTTTGATTATTTTTGTTATCTTTGGATTGTTTGAATTTGTTTATTATACATGTTTGCATATGAATTTTATTTTTTTAAATCAATGTTTGTTATCGTGTTTGATTATGTTCGTTATATTTGGATTGTTTGAATTTATTAATAAACCCGTTTCTCCCCTGAAATCTTGATCCGATCGAGCTGGGGACTCAACAGGGACTCACCCCCGCAGGGATTTCTGCGATCCCTGGATACGAATAAAAAAAACCCATTAAGCTTTCAACGATCTTAGTTCTGATTTCTCAACAAAAATAAAAGATTTATACTGGAAAACAAAAGCCTGCAAAAATTGCTTACCCTTTCTTTTGTTTCTTTTTCTTTTGTTCATTTAGCACTGTCTTCGTGTATATTTATCCTTAATAGTCAACATAAGACAAAACATCTTTACTAAATGCATCAATCATCTCGTTTAATTGCTGCTTGATAAATAGATTCATAGAGACATGAAAGGATTATGCATATGATTACAATTAAATTGCAATACGCATTAAGTTTACTTTCTCCGAATATGAAACTATAGGAAATATAACAGAAAACTTTAATTTTGTAGTGAACTAGTCACTCGATGAATTATATATGAAATTCTGCACTGCATGAATTGCAAGTCAAAGGAGTAACCATCAGCAACTAGTTATATCATCCTCTTATGCATCCAAAGCTTGATTCTCCTCTGAGCCACCTTCATTGGCACCTTCATTGGCACGTGCATTGATGTTCTCGTGGTGTAGCCTACAACCCTTAACCATTTTCACACACAAAATTGCCACTCGAGTAACATGGAAGACAAAGATCACCAGAATCATAACAAACCAAATTTTCAACCATGAGGGGATGAAAAACAAAAATTCAACCTAAATCCCTTCGAGTATCACCAACCAAGTCAATAGCATAAACATGATTGACATCAATATGAGACAAGCACAAATAAACATTAATGAGATGAACATGAGTATACAACATGAGTATACAATGTTTTGTAGGGAATTTTTTACAAATCATAAGATTAATTGTCTGACAAGTGCAAAACACATCATGTTAAACATGCCGAAGTAGGAGTTGGTATAGCTTGACCAGCGCGAATTGCCAAGCAATGTGGTTCCAACAAGACATGGTCTTTCTATGGAGCATTCTCCATAATCAGCATTTGTTGTAGTTTGTTGCCGAAAACCTCCTGGTGGGTTAAGAAAATTTTGAAAACAGAAGATGGTTAGCACGAAAGAGAGAAGTAGCAACTTGCCCTGACTTTATTCACCCAACCCTTGTGTTCAAAGAATTCTGTCAATTTGCTCGCAAATATGCTTGGAAAACTTGCATTTCCTTCTATGTTGCCAACAACAGCAGATGGTGTTGAGGGTTGGTGATGACTTTTAATGTTTCCTCTGACCTCCATTGACTTGACAGAGCCAATCTTGGTTGCCTCAGACAAGTTCTCTGCATCTACAGTAATATGCAAAGATTCTTCACTCATATCCAAAGTTTCTTCAACAATCTCCATTCTTCAACAATCTTCATACTTTAACAATCTGAAAAAATGAAAACTAATCTCTAAACTTGGTCACTTCTTATTCTCTCAAATGAATTCAATAAGAACAAAAAGACTCGTAATTATGAATTCTCTCAAATGCCTCAGACAGATGCTTTAAAAGAAGAACTAATGCATTCTCAGAAACTGTGTTGGTGCTACGTTAATGCACGCATTATGTAAAAAGATATAATGGGAAGCTAGCTCCTATATTGCCTGTTTTTACCATAGCTCGCAATTGAATCCACTCTAACTTAACATGCTACTAACTATACCATAAAACTTTTTCTATGTCCTAACATAATTTCTTATGTTATCCGCACTTACTTCAATATTGAATTGTGCGGACAATATAGCTGCATTGATGTTATAAGCAACTGCTTTCTAACCACCATCTCCCTTGTGACCTATTTGACGTTCTTTTGTAAGTCTATATGCTAAAGAACGCTCCATTTGTATGTTCCAAGTATGTTCCAAGAAAAATAACCTTTGTGAGTTACTTCATTTTCAGTACATTGCTTCTCTTTTATTTCATGTGCTTTAGTTTGGTTGCTTTCTGTCATCTGTGTATTTGAAATGATTACAACAACTACATTAATTAAACAAAATCAACAAGAATTAGCTTTCCTCATCCAATCTTAAGAAATTAATATGAGTTAATTGTCACCTCACTTTACTACATACATGACAATGACATAACTTGTTCACACAAGTTGCCAAAGAATGTGGTTTTTAAATTGTGATGTAGTGGTTTGGAGCATAGTATAAAATATCGATAATATCGATGAAATATCGAGGATATTATCGTTTTTTCAAGTTACGAATATTTCGAAATGTATCCATACACATATCGTATAATATCGATAATATCGGAAAATATCGATGTTGATAATTTCGCTTACACTTCAGCAATATTTTGTCAAAATATCGCTATAATATCGATGTAATGGAAAAAATAAAATAAAATAAACACAAAGCACACACACAAAGGGAATTCAAACCCTTGCCATTTCACTCCTCCAACGCATTAATCACCATGTTGCTTATGTTTTTATAATAATGTGCTAAAATATGTATATTTATATTGTTTTGTTTTGAACAATTACATGCAAAACTATTTTTGGGGATTTATCATTTGATGACTACTCTACACATAGAGATGATGAAGATAGTGAAAATTTTGAACCTCATAAGAACTCTGAGTGATACAAAGTCACTCACGTATCTTACCATACAATGTATAAAGTGTAAAATATTGTAGTTTATCATAATATATAAATGATTATGGTGTGTTTAATCTTCTTCATTAATTACTACATATTTTCTACGCTCACAGTGTTTGTCAGCTCGTTATATAATCAACTTAAATCTGTTAACCCATCATGCAATGCATTTCCTTCCAATTTATTGTGATGAACTAATAAATAATTGACTAAATAAACATCCTTCAAAATTTCAATAAAAATTTCCAAGTTTTTCTTACAAATTCTGTGGTTTTTATTCAATTTTTATCGATATCGATTAATGGTGGGCACGGTCCGATTTGGACCCGTTTTGGCCTCAAATTAAACTGAATTTGGTACTATTTATCTGGTTGGTTCGGTTTGGTTTTGACAAAAAAAATTCAAAAACTATCCGGCTCGATTTTGAACCGGATTATTAAAATTATTATTATTTCAATTATTTTTTAATACAAATTTCAACTGAAATTTTATTTTTTTGACTTGAAAATTAATAAATTATTTAATTTCATATAAAAATAAATATTAAAGCTAGAAAAGAGAGATGTTTTGAAATTGAACTTGGATAAATATGAGTTATCAGATTAAAAATATAGCATTGAATATAAATAAATATCAAAATTATATATTTTTAAATTTGACCGGTTTGGTTCGGCCCGGTCTGATTTTTGAAGAGATAGAACTGGATCCAAAACTGGTCCAAATCGGTCGGTTCGATTTTTGACTAGTTGTTGAATTTTTTGTCAACTCAATTTTTTTCCCCTTTTTTCGGTGCTGTTTGGCTCGGATTTCCGGTTTGCCTATTTGAATGCCCACCTTTAATATCGATAATATCCCGATATTTTCATCAAAATTTCCGTGTTTTTGGACTACTAATATTTTCGATACCATCGATATTTTAGATCTTGGTTTGGAGCAATGGTTCCCCTAAAAAAGATTCAGAGTTCGACTCTTAACATTCATATAATGCGTGTGAATTTAGTACATTATCGCTGCTCTCAATAGATTACTAAAAAAAATCAGTTGAAATATAAGACAAAAAAGACAAAAAAAATTAAATAAAAGAAGAAAAGAATTAAAAGTGGATGACTGTATGGTTCGCTGTGAAGATCAAAGACCAAATCCACACCACACGTGTGGCATATTTACTCCGTGTACGTGGCGTACTTGGCAAAAGTAGGAGACATATCCGGTATTTAAAATGAAGATATACCCTTGAAAAGTGAAAATGCCAGGGAAAAGCCTCCCCACTACTTTCCCACTCAAATACAGTTTCTTGCGCTTTCCATTTCCTCAGTTATTTAGGGTTTCAATTTTCCCTCCCAATTACACTCCCAGGCTCAATCTCTCTCTCTCTCTCTGTCTTCATTTTCCCGAATCAATCAACTTTCTCTCTCTTTCTCGGCAACCAAACAGTCGCATACCCTGTTTCGACAATGGCTGTGACGCTAACAGAGGGGGCGATAATGAAGATTTGCACAGGGGAGTACCATGACGAGACCTGGAAGCCCATCTTGCAAGTGCTCGACGTGAGGATGGTCAATACAGCGCGCAGTGGGGCCCAGCCGGGCCCCGATAACGAGAGATACAGGGTTTTGATCTCGGATGGTTCCCACCACCAGCA